GGCGGATTTTATAGTAGACAGGGTCTCCAACCTTCAATTCTACTACCTTTCTTTCAGCATTCACTCTCTCATTTCTTTTCTTCTGGGCCTCTTTATTCTTCTTCTGGCCTGTACAAATATTTTATGTTGTTGTTCCAGCAACAGCTGATGATGATCTTCTTCCATATACTTTCTTCGGGGGCTTCAATAGGTTATCCACAGGCAGAACTACGTCTCTGCCAAACAACATAAAGTAAGGAGAAAATCTGGAGGTTTCGTTTTATCGTAAACCTCACGGCCGTCAGAGCCTGCATCAAATACAAGTCCCAATTTCAGTGTTCTCTGACCAGCTTGGCTAATATATCTCCCAAGGTTCTATGAAACCTTTCCACTTTAGCATTTCCTTGGGGGGTGATATGGAGATGTTTTACGTGCTCTATATTCAAAGCTCTCAGCACTTCTCTCATTATGCTGTTTATATTCTCCGTGCCATTATCTGTTACCAATTGCACAGGGGGCGCCATACCTAGGGAAGATTTCCTTATTATCAAACCGGCCATGCTTCTAGCCTTCTTGTCTGGTACTGCAAATGCCTCAGGCCAATTTGTTAGCCAATCAACAAAACTCACTATATAGTTGTTTCCTTGTGCAGTTTCCCCATATGGTCCTGATACATCCATACTCACTTTCTCAAGGGAAGTTCGGAACGTCCATCTCCTCCAATGGTGCCATTTCCTGCCTTCTGCTCTGCGACTGGTACACTACGCAGCTCGAACATAGTTAGTGACCTCTCCGTACAGTTTGGGGCTAATAGTACTTTCTTCCCATTAGATCACATGTCCTATCAATTCCCATGTAACCCAACCTCTCGTGGCACTGTTTAATATCTCCGGTCTTAAACTTTTTGGCACATACAACTTGGGCTTGAATTTTTATCCCTGCCTGAGAGATAATACAGCCTTTCCTCTATTATGGCATACTTGGTGGTCTCTCCTGCCTTCACCTTTTTTTTCTAAGGGCAGCTATTTCACTGTCTGTCTGCTCCTTCTCAATTCCTTCTGTCCAGTAGGGATCGGTTGTTATCTGTGCGTCCCTTCTTCGTCCGATTCTAACATAGGGCGGTCTTTTAGCTTATTAGAGTTAATTATCTATTCTATAGACTTTATCATCTACTCAGTGCTCTACTTTACAGATCTTTCTTCCAGTTGTTTCGGTATTCTTGAAAGTAAATCTGCGCACGTGTTTTCCTTCCCTGCCAAATACTCTATCTTACAGTGGTAGCCACTTAACTTAAGTACCATCTGTTGAATCTTTCTTATTATTTGTCCATTCTGTCTGCAATAGGTACTGCAGAGGTTTGTGGTCTGTTTTATAGTAAAGACCGCACCATTCAAGTAGTAGTCTAGTTTTTGGAGAACATACATGATAGCATATGCTTCTCTTTCTATTACTGGCCATCTCTGTTGTGTCTCTGAGAGCTTATGAGAGAAAGTATATCGGTACTTCCTCTGGTATGCCTGGCACTGGTCCCTTCTTTATAGGGACACGGCTGGAGTAAGAACTGCTCCTACACACTGCTCACTGGCATCAGTGTATAGTACCATGGGCTTGCTTGAGGTCTGGGTACGTCAGCAATGGGACGGCTGTCAACTTCTTTTTAACGTATCAAATGCCCGTTGACAATCCTCTGTCCACTTGAACCTAGCGTATTTCTTCGTCAGGGGATACTAGTGGTATGGCAATTCTCGAGAATGCCGGGACGAAGCGTCTGTAGTAACCTATAGCTCCTATAAAACCTCTTACTTGTCTCACTGTCTTAGGTTCTGGCATTTTCTTTATGACTTTCACCTTATCCATGTCGGGTTTAATACTGTCCGTTTATAACAAAAGCCCAAATATCTAGTCTCCTCCTTCAGAAACTGACACTTCGACAATTTCAATTTTTAAGCTGTGTTTTCTTAACCTTCCCAACACTTGTTTTAGATGGAAAAGTGTTGTTCTACTGTTTGAAAATATCAAAATATCATCCAAATATGCCATGGCAAAGCCTCGTATCCTCCTAACACTATTGACATCAGCTGTTGGAAGATTCCGGGGTATTAGCTAAACCGAATGTCATCACCCTGAACTGAAACAGTCCTAGGTGACACGCAAATGCGGCCTTCTCCTTGTCAGCCTCATCAAGGGCTACCTGCCAATACCCGGACCTCAAGTCCAACGTAGAGAAGTATTTTGCTTTCCCTAATAATGCTAATATGTCATCTATTAGTGGCAATGGCACCGCCAACGTCTTCGATATAGAATTCAGTTTCCTAAAATCTGCAAAACGGTGCCCGCCATCTTTCTTACCTACTATGACGATTGGAAAGCTCCAGGGAGATCGATCTTTCGATCATCCCAGATTCCAACATCTCTTCTACTGCCTCTTCTACAAGGAGTCTTTTATGAATAGGTGTCCGGTAGGGTTTTAATTTCACAGGGGTGATCTCCGGTGTCGATTTTCATTTTGACTGTGTGGGTCTGGCCCAATTCTGTCTGACCGGGCCACCACATCTCGATTATCCTCAGCAGACCTCCCACCTGGTTCTAAATTGATCCGGTGTTAATATATCTTCGTCCACTATTCCTTCTGTTTGCTTTACAAGTTTTCTCCGTTCCTCCCAGGTTCCGGGTCGTTGTACTAGAGTTTCTGGAACCGTATGGCCACAGCCAACCAAAGTCCTTGGTTCCTACTCTAGCTCGTCTCGCTTTGAGTCCTATTCGAAATTTCTCAGCAACAGCGGTCGGTCCAGGTCCTGTCCTGCTGCCACGGTACTAATTGTGGAAGTGGCTGTTCCAGGGTCCCATCCTGGTCACGGCACCAACTGTGCGCGTCCCTAAACACAGCCTTCGCTCGCTCTTCGCTGCTTCGTTCGGGTGTCGCCGCTCCAAACGTGACGTCCGCCTGTCGCGTCAGTCGTATTGTCTCGTCCTGTGACGACCAACTGGCTTGGTATCGGTCGCGGCACCAAAATGTGACGTTCTAACCTTTTGGTGATTCGGATGGGAATCTGGTTAGATTCGATATCAGCCTCGCCGTTCCCAATTCGCTTCCAATGCCTGGTTAGCAAAGTAACTGCGTTGATCTCCAGTCCGCCTACCCACGTTGTGAATCGATCTTAGGCAGACGAAATCAATCAGTCGTTGGGGCCACAATGCAAGTTGGGTCCAAGCGGGGGTGGTATCGCACAAATACGTATAAAATAAATGAAATGATAACTCAAAAGTTCAAGGTATCAAAGAAAAGGATAACAAACTTTATGTCTAGTTGTTGGATACATAGGACTGCGTCTATCTCCCGACCCGTTCTATGGATTGTGACACGTTGTTTTCCGTTAGGCGAGTTTTAACGCTTCAAGTTGTTTGCTCTTTAAGAAATTGGTTTTTCGGTGTGTCTTCGGGCGAAAGTCGAAAAAAAACTTATTTTGGTGGTCTGGATCTAAGTCGCTCTTCAAAATAATTGTTCTTGGATTGAAGAGGAGTCCGGAATCTTGGTCAGCCGATGCGAGGCTTGCTTCAACTGAGCACTGGAGACTGACTCTGGGAACTGTCTCTCCCGAACTCAACTCTGAACTGGAACTGAACTGATTTTCGCTCGCTGCGACTTCGTTTATATGGACGCCGACCAAAACCGGGGTGGGTTTGTCCGCTGGGGTTCCTCGATAATTCTAATTACCTATCCACTTCTTTTATTTTTTGGTTAGAATTTTCCACTTCTTTCCATTTCTTTTTGGGATCCTTCTCTACCCCCCCTTCTCACCATACTCCAGAGGGGCGTGAACTGCCCTCCCCACTTCTTCGTAGCAACCTCTCATACCCATCCTCTAGGTGGGCGGCGACAGCTTCCTTCCTTGTGTCACGTGATCACCACTCGGCCAATGATATCCAGCCGGGCGTGTGCGATCCTGGGGCTTTGTTTCAGGGAAAAATATCTTGCTTAAAAAAAAAATAATCTTTTTCTTTCCTTTTTTAATCACAGTTCTCATTTTCTCTGGCTGCAAAATAGAACAATGCGATCGGTGGTATTCATAACTCTTGTTCTCACCTGGACTTCGTCAGTCAGATTATCGCTAATTATCAGAATGGGTGGTCTATTTGACACAACACAATCAATCGTCCGTCACCTCGAAAAAAAAAAAAGCATTTCCATGGTTCCAGTCATTCTTTGGTACACATTTCTGATAACATAGTTTTATTATCGCAGCCAAAGATGTCTTGTCAAAAGAAAAACGGTCAGTCGCCACCTCGTGTGCGGCTTTGACACAATTAATTTTTCATATCTATCCAAAGCCCTGTAGTTCACCTGTTTTTTGTCAATTATCAAAATAACATTTTCAATTGGATTTTCTTTGGCTAGTCGGTCTGTGGTTTGCTTAATCAGATGTTTTCCCGCATTAGCGGTTTGTTTATGTATCCCCGATAACACAGCTCGTCGCCAGAACACAACGATTCCTTTATCCACTTAGAACTTTTCTGCCATTGTAATGACAGTTTTGCCATTTGCTACTTATCAAAATATCCTTTTATCCATAGTCGGGTGTCCTACTTATCATCCACGTTTGTGTCTGCCTCTCTTTTCCTTTCTTTCCTTCCCCTTTTTCTTTTTTTTCTTTTTTTGCCTCGGTAAATGGTGCCACAAGGAGATAATAATAGACAGAATTTATGGAGGGGACTAAGAGAAAGAACAAAAAGTTGTATGAAAGCTTCATGTATTGCCTTTTTTAAATAGCAAGATTGATTTATAGGTAGAAAGATAGATAGACTGATAGAAATAATGAGATAATAATAGTGGGAAATTATGGAAGTGGACTAAGAGAGAGAAGGAAATGTTGTATGAAAGAGAGAGAGGGTAGACATTTTCCTCTTTTCTATTAAATATCAAGATTGATTGATTCATAGATAGAAAGGTAGATAGACTGATGATATTCAGTCACCCCCCACCCCACGAAGGCGTCATGTGGCACAAGGCCTTTTTAACGTGGTTATAATATGAGAGAGAAGGTAAGGTTGTATGAAAGAGTGAGAAGGTAGAAAGTCTCTCCTATTCTTTTAAATATCAAGCTATTGTGATCGATAAGATAGATAGACTGATAGATTGAAAGATAGATAGACTGATAGATAGAAGTAATGTGAAAGTAATCTAGGGAACATATGAAATGGGACTAAGTGAGAGAAGGAAGCATTTTATGAAATTCTCCCCTTTTTATTAAATAGCAAGATAGAGTGATAGATAGACTGATATATAAATAGACTGATAGAATTAATGAGATAAAAATTAAGGGAACTAGGAGAGAGGGGGAAAGGTTGTATGATAGAGATAGTGGGGGTAGAAATCCTACCCTTTTCTTTTTTAAATTGCAAGGTAGAATGATAGATAGATAGAAAGATAAAATAGACTGATTGTTCGAATTAATGAGGTAATAATTCGAGTGAATTTATGAAAGGGAGAAAAAGAGGCAACGAAAGTTTGAATAAAAGAGTTAGAGAAGGTTAGAAATACTCCCCTTTTCTTTTAAATAGCAAGATAGAATGACTGATAGATAGAAAGATAGATAGACTGATAGTTAAAAAAGTAATGAGATAATAATAGTGGTAGTTTATGGAAGGGGACTAAGAGAGAGAAGGAAAGGTTGTATGAAATAGAAAGAGTGTAGAAATTTTCCCCTATTCTTTTAAATAGAAAGATAGTGATTGATAGAAAGATAGATAGACTGATAGTTCGAATTAATGAGATAATAATAGAGAGAATTTATGAAAGGGACTAAGAGAGAGAAGGAAAGGTCGTATGAAAGAGAGAGAGAGGGGGTAGAATTTCCCCCTTTTTCTTTGAAATAGCTAGACAGACTTACTGATAGATAAACTGCTCGATAGAAAGACAGACTGAGAGATATATTTCATAAGGGAGGGGATGTACTGAAGGGGAAGAAATGGGGAAGAAGAGAGAGAAGGAAATGTCGTATGAAAGAGAGAGAGAGAGGGGGGGTGGAATATGACATTACCTCTTTGGAATGGTTTCCCATTCAACTTAATTAGTTTCCTTTATTCTGCTGTTTTACTGATGCAGGGACGAGATAGTTTCATGCCTTTCTCAATGAACGTAATGAAGACATGACCGGGATTTGAACCCTGTTTCCATTTTCCATTTGACATCAAGCTTTTAGCTTTTAGTTTGCCTCTAAATTCGAAAAAGCGGGAATGAAATTTTGAATTCTTGTTGGAATCTCTTTTCCGCAGATTCATCCCCCTAACCCCGCCAGAACCTAAAAAAATCTCCTTGGAATTTCCGTCTAAAATCTTCGCCTTAGAAATTACCGATTCTTTCTTGTCTTTTAGAAAATTTCTCCCCCCCACATCTTTTTGTTTTTATTATCTCCAGTTCGTTGCTAAATGTCAGTCGTCGAATGTCTTTAAACAAAATAAAGACAAAATCTCATTCAGGGCAGAAAAAGAGCGAAAGGAAGATTTCAGAAAATTCACGGTACTCCCCGACATCCACGAAGAAAAAGAAAAAAAGCACAGATAGTGTTTTGATGCGTGAAAGAAAAACAAAGAAAAGAAGAAAAATAGTAAGAGAGAAAAAAGAGAAAGTCGGAAATTAAAAAGAAAAGAAAGAAAAAAGAACAGAAAAAAAAAGAAACCTGCAATTATTTGCCTGAAATAAGTACAACAAAAAGTAATTTAATTTGCATAAATTAAGAAAATATAGATCAATAATTATCGATTCATTTGCTATTTTTATTGCTATTTCCAAATGAAATCAATTTCCTTTTCACATCTTCTGTGAAATCGGAGACAAGGGAGGCAAAAAATAAAAAAAAATTATTGAAGAAAAATTTCAAAAAATGAATTTAAAAAATAAATTTTATTTGCAAAGAAAAAGATTTTTAAAAAAAAATAAGTTTGAAAATTTTTAATAAATCTTTTCCATCGTTTTTAAAATAAACAAACAATTTTCGGCTGGAAACAAAAATCCTCGGCCAATATTCAGATTCTTTCGGGAATTTAAACAAAACGTTTTTCGGTAAAACAGAAAAAATTTCTTGATTCGTCGAAAAATAAAAATGGCCAAATTTATTTGAACAAAAATCGGAAATTTCTTCATCGATTTCAAACTTTTGAAGAATTTGGCCTTTTGATTCCAAACAAAGATTTCCGACTCTTTTTCTCTTGACCCTCACAAATTCCCAGTCGTGGGATCGGCACACGAATTCGGGGGGGATTATTACTCTCCCAGCGACCCCCCGGGTGGATTATTTTTATTTGTTGCCCATTTTCATTAAAACAAACAATTTTTTGAAAATTCAATCCACAAGCAAAAATTTTTTTTGTTAATTTGACACAAAGAACAAAAATTCTTTTCTTTTGTGCCAATTGATTTTTGCATTTGTAAAAATGGCGAATATGTTTTTCATGCCAAAAAGAAAATTCTTCTTCCCGACTCCAAAGTAATTAATCCTCCTTCGTTCTTCAAAAACTCCAGGCCACAGACAACCAAAATGTCTTCCGAAAGGCGACACATGTCCCAGGGGCAGAATTCCTTTCCTCCTTCCTTTAAGGGACATTGGCCGACCAATTCACCAGAGTCACTGAATTCTAGGATCGATCTGCTTTCAAAATCGCCAACAAAGACGCGATTGTCTTCGTCGACGGCGACAATCGAATAAATATTCAGCAGGTTCGATCCTTGCAGACGGCATTCACTTTCCAGCTGCAAATGCCGGGATATCTCTGTCTCCCACACGATTATTTCTTTCTTCAGTGACTCTAGGGAATCGTGGCACCATTTCAGAAATGTCACCAGCCAACGTCCTTTCTCTTGAGGAGCAAACGATTGATGGAGCCGCGCAGAAAGCTCCGCTCTCACCAACTTTAGACCAGTGACGACGTCCTCATCGTCAGCGTCGTCCCTCGACAAATGTTCCAATGTGTGGTGCCAGACTTTGACCTTCTTTAAAAGGTTTTTTTTCTCCTTGAGGGAGTGGCGCCATTTTGTCTGCAGTTCAGACGTCATCACATTCATATTATCGCATAACGCTGCCAACTTGAGCCGTGCTTCTTCCACGAAGGCCTTGAAATCCAGAAAGAGTTTGGAGCATTCCGATTCGCAATCCGTTGACAGTTGGTCAATGGATCGCGACGTCAGCGCGTACGTCTCCCGGATGTTGATTTCGAACTGGCGGAGTTGCCGCTCCAGGGTGGGGCTGCGTATCTTCTCATTCGACGCTTCTTTTCTCACCGAGAGCGGGCGAGGCGGACACTGAGGGGAGGCGATCACGTGATCCTGGTAACATAGTTTGCACAGGTACGTGTTGCACCGCTGGCAGAAGGCGTCCTTGGATTGGCGGTGCCGTCCACAGCCGTCCGTCGTGATGACCTTGACGGCCTCCCCCCTCGACATGCCCATCAAGTCTTTGGTCTCGTGTCCGGAGTGGAATCTCTCGCAGGTCTGGCACAAGAGTTTCTCGCATTCCTGGCACCAAATCTGGACGGTCGATTCTCTCCCATTCTCTTCAAAGCACCTGACGCACCTCCATTCTGTGGATTGCAGCTGCCGGCGCCTCAAAGACTTCTCCAGAAATGGTGACAGTCTCAAATCGTCACCGGTCACAGGTTCTTGGCACTGGGGACACGGGCCATTTTCTTCCAGAATCATCTCAATACACGACCGGCAGAAGGAATGAAGACATGGTAATGTCTTAGATGACAAGTCGAACATTTGGTCGCATTCCGAGCATGGGAATGTCTCTGCATTACTCACATTGGCCGCCATTTGGAAAATTTCTCCCAAAGATAAAAATCAACCTGTAAAGAAAGAAAAGAAAAAAAAAAGATCAAAGTTAAAAATCAGAAAAAGACGAAAAAAAAAAAGACCATTTATAAAACCGGAAGTAAAATGACCCTAAATTTCGTGATTTTACAAAAAAAAAAAAAAAAATCGATATACGGAAATGAAATTTTCTTCTAAAATCCCAAATAAAGGAAGAGGGGGTAAAAGATTTAGGGGTGGGGACGAATAAAATAATTAGAGAGTGGGGAACAGAGAGAGTAGTTATTAATGAAGCTGTCATGCGAGTTTAAGGCATTACATTGGACGAGAATAGTCACACCTCTGGACTGGAGGGGGTTACATGAGATAACAAGGGAGGGAAAAGCACGGATTGAATAACTGAAGGGGAGGAAAGCACTGTGACATCATAGGTGTTTAAGGCATTTCATTGGACGAGAATAGTCACACCACTTAAGTGGAGGGCGTTACATAAGATGACAAGGGTAGAGTAAGTGAAGGGGAGGGAAGAGGAAGTAAAAGAAAGAAGAAAGGGAGGAAATCGCTGATATCACTCACACACGCAAAGACATGTACTGATAGACACACGTACTGACACAGACGCAAATATATTAGACACACACACACAAATATATATATATATATATAAGGCTAAAAAATAGTATTCCATTGTTATAATTCATTACATTGGAATCGTAATCACGATTCAATTCATCAGACCTAGAAATTTAAAAGCTTTTTTAATTTTTCGAGATAGATAGATAGATAGATATGAAAAGGATAGATAGATAGATAGATAGAAACAGATTGCGACATACAGACGAACAGAAAATAATATACATAAAATAATGTGGAAGTTTGTTGCCTGGGAACGAAATACACACGATTGACAACACCCCCAACGTGTCACCCCAGCATGCACAATATAAATCAGGGTATGTCACTTCAATAATTCGCCAGAAAACAGCATAGCAAGAAGAAAAAATGCCCGTAAACTAAATTAAAAAAAAAAGATTTTATGAGAAAAAGTTTATAATATTAATAAAAGGAAAGACAAAATTTTGTTTAATTATATTTTTAAAAAATTTATACTTTTCTAGCACGTCCGATATCTTGGTTGAAAATCTTTTTTTTTTTCTTAGGTCAGAAGTGGCGTGATATTTTTTTGCATCAGTTATTTTAGCGCTTTTTTCAGCTGAAAAACTCCTCAATTTGGAAATTGTAGCATAGATACATAGGAGTGAGATAGATAGATAGATAGATATGAAATTGACTGAGATAGATAGATAGATAGATAGATATGAAATACTTGAGAGAGATAGATAGATAGATAGATATGAAATACTGAGAGAGATATAGATAGATAGATATGAAAAGAACTGAGATATAGATAGACAGATATGAAAAGAACTGAGAGATATAGACAGACAGATATGAAAAGAACTGAGAGAGATAGACAGACAGACAGATATGAAAAGAACTGAGAGAGATAGACAGACAGACAGATATGAAAAGAACTGAGAGAGATAGACAGACAGACAGATATGAAAAGAACTGAGAGAGACAGACAGACAGACAGATATGAAAAGAACTGAGAGAGAGAGACAGACAGACAGATATGAAAAGAACTGAGAGAGATAGACAGACAGACAGACAGATATGAAAAGAACTGAGAGAGACAGACAGACAGATATGAAAAGAACTGAGAGAGACAGACAGACAGACAGATATGAAAAGAACTGAGAGAGACAGACAGACAGACAGACAGATATGAAAAGAACTGAGAGAGATAGACAGACAGACAGATATGAAAAGAACTGAGAGAGATAGACAGACAGACAGATATGAAAAGAACTGAGAGAGATAGACAGACAGACAGACAGATATGAAAAGAACTGAGAGAGACAGACAGACAGACAGACAGATATGAAAAGAACTGAGAGAGACAGACAGACAGACAGACATGAAAAGAACTGAGAGAGACAGACAGACAGACAGATATGAAAAGAACTGAGAGAGAGATTGGTACGTCCATTAGGTCACGTAAAAAATCGGCATATCACGATTAAAAAAGACTCATAAATCAACGAAAACAAAGTTTTGTTTAAATTATGTTTATGTTGTTATGAAGATGAAAGACCAAAGTATTTTTAAAATGTTTTTTGAAATTTTTTACTTCTTTCTAGCACGTAGAAAATTGTGCTTAAAAATTGTTTTTTATTACGACAGCGCGAAAAAACTAAAAAAAAGGTTTGTTTTATTTTGCGCTTTTCCCGAGGAAAGCACACATTTAATTTAGGAAATTCTTGCAAAAATCAAATAATTGTTGGAACTTTCAGGACTTATTCAGAAATCAATGAAATTATTTTTGAAATTTTTTTTTTTAGAAAATCGTGTTAAAAAGAGTTTTTTTTTTAACATAATTTCCACCCATTTACATATTTTCATGAAATTTCGAGAAATTATATCTGAGCGCGGGATTTTTTTATTAGTTATGAAGAGGACTCTTTTAGAAAGTAAATCACCAGTTTTTTGTTAAACATTTATAATTTATAGAAAATCTGCTTTTGAATTGTAAAAAAAAAAAAAGTAAAAAAGTATGACATTAATTAATTAGAAAAGCTACTTGTTTTTTGTAGATACGTTATACTAGGACATTATTTTGTGAAGAAATAAAACTTATTCGATGATTAATGTATTTTTGCAAATTTTTCACCATTTTAAAATTTTGTTCATTAACATCTTAAATAATTCAAAAATCGTTTAAAATTCTTTATTTCTTTTCGCGCACGTAATGCAATGATAACGTTAATGAAAAAATGTAAATTTACGAATCGAACTTTGAAAAACACATAAAAAGTCGTTTATACATAAACATTTTTAAAATAATTTAAAAAAAAAAAATTTATTGAAAAAACGTTCATAATTTCTATGTATGGAAATGTATACGCGACATAATCCTTAAAAAAGGTCACGTGATTTGTGTCGTCTGTCACCGCAGTTATTTCTATTCTGTCTAGTTCATATCCACATCGTTTTTACGTGTTTGCAGAAATTCTCTTCAAATTTTAAAAATAAGTTGTAATTATTTTTAATTACTTTTTATTAAATATTTTCCTTTAAAGTATTTTATTTTATTTTTTATATTTCATTGAAATAATTTTTTTCTTATTAATTAATTAAGATTAAGAAGTTAAGAAACGGAAACCAAGACAAAATAAATAATTTCTAATTTTTAAAAAAAATTAATTCTTTCTTATTAAATTTGTTTGTAAATTTTATTTTAATACATTATTTATTCCATTCACATTTGAAATTATTATTTTTTTTTTAGTTTTCAATGAAAACTAAGTTATTTTGAAAACTTTTAAACACCGTGGATTGAGGAATATAAAATTTGTCTGGTACCGTAAAAAAATTGACTGAGTGTTAATTGCTTAAGAAATTGTTAATTAAACGTTTTAGCAATTGTTTAATAATTCGTTAATATTAAGATTACTGAATATTTTTTTGTTATTATAAAAAAATTTTCCAAATTAATTTGTTTTTGCTTAACTGTATTTAATTTTTTAATTTTTAGATGGTGAAAAGAACTGAAGAATTTTTGCGGAATTATGAGTTTATAAATACACGAGAGCCAATCAAGTGGGCCATATTTTAAAAAATTTTTTAGATAATTATGGATCTTTCGTGAAGATTGCAGAATGGGCCACCCAGCAGAATTCACAAAATAGTTTCCCTCCTATTTCGAAACATTCAGTTAGGAGACTTTCTGAATGTTACAAAAAAAGAAATTTAGGAGGTAATTTCTCTGATTTCCAAAAAAAATGTGAAGTGGTGGTCCAATCTGCTATTCTTTCTTCTGCCACATCTTCCATTGCCTCTTCCACTGCCATCCCAGTTGAAACTTCAAATGTGTCTGCTGCAGCTTCAACCCTGTCCGCTGCTACTTCAAACCTGTCCGCTGCTACAACTTCAAACCTGTCCGCTGCTACAACTTCAACCCTGTCTACTGCAACTCAAAAACACATGTAAAATTTCAGACAAATGTTGTGAAACATCTGCCATTCCTTTGTTCAAATATAGCAAAATAATTGCCATGAGAAAAACATTGTTAAAAAAAAAATAAAAAAATTTCTTCACTTTCCAAAAAAATTCGTGAACTGAAAAAAAAAAAAAAAGAAAATTTCCAGTTCTTTTTTTAACAGGAAACTCCATTATGACTGTCTTTTGAATGGAGTTCCTGCTTCTTATGCTTCCAGTTTGGTCACAGCAGTTTCCAAAACTTTATCCTTGGATCACTGCTCTTTCGGAAAAAGTACTACGACAGTTTATAGAATGGTGGGGGAGCTTGGCTTTCTTTCAGATGTGAAGACTTTTCGACTTAACAACACAAGATGGCAAACATACATGTGAACTGTGTTTTGTTAACAACTCCTTCAGCCGCCCATCTTGTGTCACTGGAACGTCTTCCTGGAGGAACTGCTATGGACTACAAGCAGCATATTTGTGACTGCATCAACAACTTAGCTAAAGCAGGCTCATCGTCTACTGGCATAAGTGTTGATGCCAGTTTGCAAATAATACTTTCGAAAATTAAATGCTGCTTGACAGACCGGGCTCCTGTTAACCATTCGACAGTGTCATTATTGGAAAAGGAGTGGCAGATAAACCTTATAGAGCTGCATTGCAACTTGCACCCATTGGAGACAGTGGCAACAAAAACGAGGAAGGTCCTGATTGATTGCGAGGAAAACGTGAATGTGAGTGAGTGCCTAGCATGGCGAATTCTTGCAGGATTCAATTCCTTGAGATATAGTGATAAATTGGGCTTTATTCCAAAAATGAAGGCCTTTATCGAACAACAAGGTATTCCATGGTCCAATATCACTAGATTTCAAGGGAATCGGTTGCATGTAATTTTTCATCTAGGTGCAACTTACTTTCCCATTTTCGCTCAATGTAGGCAATTTGTTTTGGGACTTTCCTCAACAAATAAAACTATACAGAAGCTACAAAATATAATAATGGAAGAAGCTGCTATTGTTGAAATGCAAGTGCTGGGAATCATAGGGAAGATGCTATCAACACGTAGGTCAAATATTGGATAAAAATACCAATACCAATCGTTAATAATTGGTTTTACTTTTTTATGCTAGAAGTAAGTAATATTTCTTTTAAATCAGATTAATTTAACATTAAATTTTCTAATTTTACTAAAATAACGTTTCAGAAACTTTGTTAAATATTTTTAAAATCGATAAATTTGTGTTTGTTTATAAATTTCTTAGAAAATTAAGAAAATGGCGGAATTTAAGAAAATTTAAATTTCCAAAATTAAATTGGAAATTCCAATGTATATAGTTTCTATCTGAAATACACCAGAGTTGTTTCCTTAAATGGACATATTAAATTTAATGATTAAAATTTCAATTAAAGCTAAAATGAAATCTTCAAGCCTGTTTTTTCATTTTTTTAAATTTATTTTAAAGTTAGGTATCGGAGATTTTGCCGAAAAAAGTGGAGGCACCTATAGATAGATAAATAGATAGATAGATAGATTCATTGTATTAAAAGACACGGACGGATAGATAGATTCATTGTATTAAAAGACACGGACGGACGGACGGACAGACAGACAGATAGACAGACAGATAGATAGATATGAAAAGAACTGAGATAGATAGATAGATAGATAGATAGATAGATATGAAAGAACTGAGATAGATAGATAGATAGATAGATATGAAAAGAACTGAGATAGATAGATAGATAGATAGATAGATAGATAGATATGAAAAGGACTGAGATAGATAGACAGATAGATAGATAGAAACATATTGCGAAAGAAAGTCGAAGAGAAAATAATATACATATAACAATGTGGAAGTTTGTTGCCAGGCAACGAAATATACACGACCGATCCCGCCACCGTGTCACCCCAACATGCACATTATAAAGAAGCGTGTGTCACTTCAATAATTCGCCAAAAAACAGATTTGCATGATGAAAAATGTCCCATAAACAAAATAAAAACGAAATTTTATGAGAAAAAGAATTTATTATTAATAAGAGGAAGGACAATATTTTTTTTTTATTATTTTTAATAAACTTTTATTCGTTTCTAGCAAGTTCGAAATTTTGGTTGAAAATCTTTTTTTTTTCTAGCATTAGATATTTTAGAGGTTTTTTTAAGTTGAAAAACTCGTTAATTTGGAAATTCTTGCGTAGATATATAGGAGTGAGATAGATAGATCTGAAAAGGACTGATATATATATCTATAGAGAGAGAGATAGATAGACAGACAGATAGAGAGAAACCGATTGCGACAGACAAACGAACAGAAAATAATTTTCATAAAACAATGTGGAAGTCACACCTGCCTGATAGATAGATAGATAGATAGATAGATATATGAAAAGGGCTGATATATATATAGAGAGGGATATATGAAAAGGACTGAGATAGATAGATAGATAGATAGATAGATAGATAGATAGATAGATAGATAGATACATACATACATACATACATAGACCCTATTGTGTTTAAATGAGCCACAAACTCGGAGGAAAACAAATGACGGGTTCATTTACAAAAGGCGGTACCGGAAGTCCCTATAAAGGGACCCCAATCAAGAGAGTTCCTTTTTTATATAAGGGCAATAACCCTATTTAAACTGAATAGTAGTTTATTGTTCTTAATGGACACAAATAATCCTCCCTTACTTTGGATGAGGACTTCAAGTTAGAGACGTTTTTTTTTTTATAATGTCCAATCAAGTTTTGTAGTCTTTTAGGTAAATCGGGGGTGTCTTTTTATGTTGTGGTCTGGAGTGTTGTCTAGAGACGATCTCTTGGGTTGTGGGTGATGAAGTCTCCGGTTCAAACAAAGGGGTGGGAATTGGTGATGATGTGGATGCAGCATCAGTGCTGGTTTCAGCTGAAGATGGTATGTGGGCTGGATGGTAATGTCTCTCAGACTCAGTTTCATCATTTTCATCCTCTTCTCCTTCAAAAGAAGTAGGTGATAAGCTTTTATGGGTTTAAAAAATGGGATGAGTTGCGTGTTATATTGTTTTGGCCACGTTGTGCTGTTATCATGCTGCCTTTCTTTTGAGTGATCATGTAAGGCAGAGGGGAAAATGGTGGTGTTAATTTGTTTTTTTTGTTGTTGTTTCACTAGAACAAATTTACCAGGTTGAAGTGTTGAGGGCAGGTCTTCCCTTTTCCTGTCAGCATACTCACACATCTTCTGTTTGCTGATGTAGTCATTGGCAGAAATCTTTTCATTTATGTTACCATGTGGGTAGTTCAGGGTTGAAGTTTGAGAGGGTAAGATGGGTGGCCGACTTTCATCTTTCTACCTGTGAGTGCCTCAAAAGGGGAATTTTGGTGGAAGTATGAGGAGTGCCCTATACATCCGAAGAAATGTGGGTAGTTGAGATTTCCATGTGTGTGTGCCCTCAGCTACACAGGATCTAATGTTTTTGTTAAGAGTGGCCATGAAGCATTCTACCTCCCATTTGCTTCTGGCCAGAGGGGTGTTATTTTTTGTTTGTATGCCAAACTCACGCATTGAACTGGAGAATTCTTCCCCATTGAATGGAGGGCCATTGTCAGTCTTGACTGAGGTAGGGATTCCTTGGCGTGAGAAATGGTTCAAGTTTTGCCAGGACTGTCCTTGCTGAGGTGGATGAGATTATTTCTACCTCAGGGAACCGGCTGTATTCATCTATGACTACAAGTAAGTAGTCACCTGAGGGAAAAGGACCAGCAAAATCAATGGCAAGGGAACCCATGGTTCTGGTGGTAGTAGTGGGTTGTAGAGGTTCACGTGGATTGTGGCCTGGGTGAGATGCCTGGCACGGTATGCATGATTTCACTGTATCTTCTACGAACCTATCAATTCCAGGGAACCACACTTTTTCTCTGATGCATTGTTTTGTTTTGACTATGCCTTGGTGAGCCTGGTGGGCAATGGCTATAGTCTTCTGTCGTAGAGCTGCGGGTATAATTATGCGGTTTTTGTCTGAGGATAAGTCCATCGTAAATGGAAAATTCATCCTTGAATCTGCTGAAATCCTTTATTTCTGGATCCATCCAACGGCCAGTTTGTATGGCTTGCATCACCTTTTGGAGTTGTTGGTCCTTTTCAATAGCAGATTTCACTTCTCTCATTGTGAGAGAGATTTGGGTATTGCATTTTCCACAATGTAAGCGATATATGTTTCTCCCTGCATTATCACGTCTGGGTATTTTATAGGGTGTCTGCTGATGTAGTCAGCAGGGTTGTTTTCATCACGTCCAGGTCTGTACACCAGATCCATGCTGTATGGCATTAGGCGTAAACGCCATCTCTAGTCTGGCTGTGGTGGGTTTTCTGTTGTTCATGATTCCATTGAGTGGCCTGTGGTCTGTGATGACTGTAAAATGGGCCCCAAACAGATAAATATGGAAATGTTCAACTCCATACACAACTGCTAGATATTCTCTATCAGTCTGCGAGTATTTCTGCTCTGTTTCTGTGAGAGCTCGACTTGCATAGCAAATGGGGCGGCCTTCCTGCATAAGGATTGCTCCTAGCCCTACTGGGTTGGCATCCACCAGGATTTCTTGTTGGTTTGTTGGGGTTGGAATATGACATGACCTTACTACTGGTGAGTGTTTTTTTAGTTTGTTGAAAGCACTTTTTGCTCATGTTTTCCCCCATTTCCAGATTGTGGATTTCTTTTGTTAAATTTCTTAGGGGCTCTGTGATAGTGGCATATCCTGGGATGAATCTGGCAACATACTGTGTCATGCCCAGAAATGACCGGACTTCAGTCACAGACGCTGGTGGAGCAGAGTCACTGATGGCTTGAATTTTCACCAAGTCTGAGAAATTCCAGTCTCTCCAAATACATGACCATAGAATCTTAGCTCCTTGACAGAGAAGAGACATTTTTCTTGTTGAGTTTTTCCCCACTCTCATCGAGTCTCTTTTAGGGTACGTTTCAGGTTTCTGTCGTGATCTGTTTGTTTTTTTCCATAAACAATGATATCATCTGAGAGATTTTTCACCCTGAGATGTCCCTCAGAAGTTCTGATATTGTATTCTGAATATCTCAGCTGCTGCGTTGACTCGAATAGTAGTCTCTTGTATCTCCTGAGACCTACATGGGTGGTAAATGTTGTGATATATCTGCTTGCCTCATCTAATTCTAGCTGATGGTATTCATTCCTCATGTCCAGCTTGCTGAAAACTGTTGCACCATTTAAATCCGCTATCAGGTCATCAATAGTCGGCATCGGGTGTTTGATTCGCTTAATTGCACGATTGGCTTCCCGCGTGTCTATGCAAAGACGCACTCCACCTGTTTTGGGAACAGCAACTATGGGGCTGACCCATGGTGTTGGGCCTTCGACCTTTTTTTCGATGATGTCCAGACTCTCTAGTCTTTCTAGCTCATTTTCTACATCTTTGCGGACATGGAAAGGAACACGGCGATGAATTTGAGCAACTGGGTTACAGATGTGTCAATGTGGAGAGTTACTTTGCCATTCTTGATGCAACCCATCGCACCATCAAACAAACGAGGGAACTGATCAGATATGCTTGTCGGGCCTGTCTGTAGAGAAAATGGATCAGGGTTTAGTTGTTGAGCTGTCTTACTGCTCATCAGGTTGGTGCATCCATTTGTGTGCAATACGTAAAACATTGCCGTGACTGTTGACGATTTGTAGCTGATGTTTGTTTGGAAGAATCCACGAACAGGAAGGGGAACATTTGAATTGAATGCATAAATTTGGGGTACAGGTTTTGGAGTAATGGCGCCATGCGGCCAAGTGATTCGTATGTCGATTTCCCCAGAATATTTACTGAAGCACCTGTGTCAATTATGAAACTGACTTTTTTGTTGTGGATTGATGCTGTAATCCTCGGTAAGGTTATTGAAGGGGATGTTGTTGAAAGAACATCGACTGAGAACAGAGATTCATTATCAGATTGGGAGAGGTCAGATGAAGGTGAAAACTGGATCTGTCTTAGAGCCAGACACACATGTTGAGCGAAGTGTCCAATTTTCCCACACCTATTACATGTTTCTCCACTTGCTGGACAGATTGATCTGGGGTGAATGTAGATTCCAGTAAATGCATTCGGTTGCTATGTTGACATTCCGGGCAGTGAGGTCTATGTTGGTTAGATTCTGAGCTTCCTGACCTGGGTGTATTTCGGCTTTGAATAGCGTGTGTTTGTTCAGTGCTTGCTGTACTGGTTTTTTGATTTTCTATTGAGGCAGCACGGCTTTCAGAAAGTTCAATACCACGAGCCTCGTCAAGTAGCTGTGTGAGCGTTAGATTGTCTTTTAGAACTTTTCGTCGAAGTCTTTGCGACGTGCATCCTAAGATTATTTGCCCAAGGATTTCATTTTCCATGTTATGAAACCCACAATTTGTTGCGGCAGCGTAACCGAATGTGGTATGAATCCATACTTTCTTTTTCCTTTTGTTTTAGCTGACGAAAAGTGAAAGTTTCATACACAACATTCTGTTTGGGTATGAAATGACTATTAAAAGATTTTTTTAATATATCATATTCATTTGGTGTTGGGTTATCACCTTCCGTCATAGAGTTAGTCCCTTTTTGTTCGTCCGTCATGGTGTCATATATATCGGTAATGTCATTTTCCTCCGTAATGTAAAAGTATTGCCTTTTTCCGTCTGTCGGAGTTGATATCCAGTGCTACAAATAGATTATCCAGCTTGAAAATCCATTTTTTCCATCTTGTCCCAGCTGTATTCTCTTCGCCGTGGACGATAAATCTTTCGAAGTCTGGTAACGACATCGTAGTATTTTTTTTTCGATGGTGGTGAGGTTGTGTGAATCCAAACCTGTTTTATCTAGCTCGTAGATAAGGATGGAAACTGGAATTAATTCATCTTTATCATCCTCGTCGCCATTTATTGTGTTTAAATGAGCCACAAACCTCGGAGGAAAACAAATGACGGGTTCATTTACAAAGGCGGTACCGGAAGTCCCTATAAAGGGACCCAATCAAGAGAGTTCCTTTTATATAAGGGCAATAACCCTATTTAAACTGAATAGTAGTTTATTGTTCTTAATGGACACAACAGACCCGAGGAATGTTATACATGTAGAGAGATTTGAAAAAGATTGAGACAGATAGATAGATCGATACATAGATAGATACATAGATAGATAGATATATGAAAAGGACTGATATATATATATATATATAGAGAGAGATATATATGAAAAGGACTGAGATAGATAGATAGATAGATAGATATGAAAACGGCGTAGATAGATGAAAAATAGGTACCTTCAATAATTCGATTAAAAACCGCATAGCGTCATGAAAAACGCGCTAAAATTAATAAAAAACAGTTTTATCGTCAGAATGTTATATTATTATTAATAGGAAAGTAGAAATTATTTTTTTAATTTTAATTATTTTTACTTTCCCCTCTTCATTAATTTCAGAATTTAAAATCGCTACCGAATGCTTTTTTCAAAGAAAGAAATGAAAGAAGCAGACGATAAATGATAACCGATATTTATTGGAAATACTTTATCAGAAATCTTAATTAAAAACGTATTCCTTTTACCACAGAATCCAAATCAGGCTTTTCTTATTTTTTTATTTATTTATTTACTTATTTATTTTTGTTTTGAATTCTATGAATTTCAAAAGAAAAGGGTTAGAAAAATGTTTTTCTCTAACTATGAGTTTGGGTAAAAAAATAAAGCACAAAAGAAAATAAAACGAAGCATTTCTCGTTGGATTCGTGAAAACATTTCGGTAAAGTTCGATTACTTGAAAATCGATAGGAAAATACTGACTTACAATTGATTCCGTTCCGATTTCGCTGCCACTGAAACTGTTTTTTTTTCCTCTTAAGACAACAGAGGCCAAAAAATGACGTCGTCTTCTTCGTATCGCTTCAAGCCAAGTGAGCTCAGCGGGAAGGCGCTGTGACGTCATAGAATTTTAAGGCATTTCATTGGACGAGAATAGTCCCACCACTGGACAAGATGGCGTTACATAAGATAATAAGGGATGGAAAAGCACGGAGAGAATATGTGAAGAGGAGGAGGTAAGGAGAAATAAGCGCTGTGACGTCATAGGAGTTTAAGGCTTTTTATGAGATCATAAGGGAGGTAGGGAGGGGTAGGAATGAGAGAAAGAGAAGAAACGTGAGAAAATGTGAAAAGAAGGAAAGGGTATATGAAAGAGGGAGGGGGCTCTTTCCATTATTTCAAAAAAATATTTGAATGAAAGAAATTTTTAAGTATAAAATAGACATCAAATGTGATAAATCTTAGTTAAAAATATAATTTCCGATATATATATATATGTATGTATAAATATATATATATATGTATAAATATATATATATATATGAATTTGTGTATTTAGGCAGCAATCCTTCTTTCGTGCACATTTCACTGAATACGACAGACAAGGTGCTTTTATTTAGTTTTTTATACAATTTCTAATGCGATCTAATATTTCTTTCATTTTCAGATGGTAAATTATATAAAAACTGTCCGAATGTTCTTTTTATCCGAGCGCTTTTGGCTATACATTTAGCCATATTCAAGGATTAAATATTTTACCTGCTAAATAAGAAATAGTTTGTTGCATAAATTTATTCATATAAAATTTTCACTTTCTTTTATAATTTAATAGTTAAAATATTTCATGGTTTCAAGTGGGCAATACTGTGGAAAAATACCCCACGACCGCTCAGCACGTCCTCTTTTGGGGGGCTCCCTAGCCGCCGGGTTTAGTAAAATATATATTTGTGTGCACGTGTGTGTGTAAAATATTAATAAGTCGAAAAACATCTATATCTATGTTTTTTCGCCTTAAAATTGCTATCTATCTATATATCTGTCTAGTGTCTGTCTTTCTTTCTGTTTGTCTATCTCTCTCTCTGTCAATCTATCTATGTGTCTCTCTGTCTTTGCGTATCTATCTATCTATCTATCTATCTATCTGTTTGTCTGTCTGTCTACCATCATACCTATCTATCTAGACATGCAGAGAGACAGAAAAACAGGCCGACAGAGGTAGATAGATAGATAGATAGAGAGACCAATAGATATATAGAGAAAAACAGACATATAGATAGATAGATAAATAGATAGATAGGCCTAAGAACACAGATAGAGAGAGAGACCGATAGATATATATAGAGAAAGAGAAAGACAGACAGAGAGACAGACACATAGATAGATAGACAGACAAAGAGACCGATAGATATATAGAGAAAAACAGACAGACACGTAGATTGACAGACAGACATACAGATAGATAGATAGATAGATATAGAGAAAGGAAACACAGACAGAGAGACAGACACATAGATAGATAGATATAGAGAAAGAGAAACACAGACAGAGAGACAGACACATAGATAGATAGATAGATAGATAGAAATTTTATGTTGAGAAACAAATAGAAACTTAGATAGACAGATAATTGTTTTTTGTTCGTCTCTTATCTCCAGTATTGACAAAGTAAGCCAGTAATGTTTGCATAAACCCCTGACTACATTTTCCTACGTGATTTTTAATACATGTCATCAAAATTTTTTCTCCGTCATAAATATCTTGTTTTGTGTTGACAGTGAAGAAGTCATGCAGGAAAGATAAGGTCCTTTGTCAGTGATAAGAAAAATTTCGACATTGTCCACATTTCAAATGCAGTCAAAGCAGATAATACACTTGTAAGTGCTGTGTCCCTCTCGACGTAACCATGACACCCAGGGACATATCACGACGTACATTTCATTGGTTAAATAAACAACAATTTTCTTTTCAATTCCAATAAAGCAAGATAAGAGGAACAGATCAGAAGACATGCAAAGACAGGTATACAAAATCGTAATCAGAAGAGCAAATAAAATGTTTCCACCCCAACCGAAGCAATATATGAACACACCTTACTAGATCTGTGTCTACATGTCTGTCTGTATGTCTCTCTCTATCTCTCTCTCTCTCAATAGATAGACAGATAGAAAAGACAGAGAGACACATAGATAGATAGATAGATAGATAGATAAACGGACAGAAGAACACAGACCGACAAAAATAGATCGATAGACAGAGATACCGATAGATATATAGAGAAAAACAGATAGATAGATAGATAGATAGATAGATAGATAGGCAGACAGACAGACATACAAAGACACAGGTTGATAGATAGATAGCAATTTTAAGTAGATAGATAGATAGATAGATAGATAGATAGATCTCTATCTGCATATCTGTCTGTCTGTTTCTTTGTATCTCTCTCTCTCTCTCTCAAATGAGAGCGGTTTATGTCCTCACTTATCAATATGTTCAAATGTTAAATAAATGAAATCATTCAACACCGCTCTGACTTTCAGAAATTCACACCATTAATAATAAAATATGGTACTTATCCATTTTTTTTAATCAATTCGCCCCCAAGCAAGGCAATAAAGCCACTAAGACACTTGTGTTCTATACTTCCTCACTTCTGGGGGACGTCTTGACCACTACGCCAAATAAACAAACTGCTGTATAGCCCCCTCATTCTGGAGGTCTCTTGCTTGACGGGGTCGATTCCATAACATTGTATCTACTTTATTTACATTATTCGGACTATTATCCTCATCTTTGTCGCTATATTTATTACAACGTTCCGGCCTTCTTCAGGTGGTTGGAATATCGAACTGAATCCTTTATTTCGCTCACTGGGGTAGACTGTTCTAGTTCCACGGGCCATGTTTTAATAGATGTCATTTATCAGTTATCTCCTGTTAATTTCCCTCTGAACTTTCTTCACTGCCATAACCGGGTATTGAACTCACACTCTTTGGGTTCTGTCACTGGACCTAACTAAGGCCTTTATCCACTGTGTCATGTATAGTTCCTACACTAAATTCAGCGGCCATATTCGTTGACTCAGAGGACATACTTTTTCCCTAGCCCTAACTACCAGAGATTCATCCTTCTTGATAAGCAAGGAGGCCAACTCCATCCTAGCTAAAGCTACGTCCCCACAATCACAAGATTTGATTGCCCAATCAACTTTTTGCTCACAAGCCGTTTGCGCCACTAATCGATCTAGATTGAGCCAACGACTATAACCAGCAGTAAACGTTCTAATTTTGAATTTTAAATCATCCCACCAGACATTCCCAACAACAGCCTCAGTCTCTTCCTGCTGTATCATTAGTAGCAGCTGGTCCCGGAAATCTTGCTCACCAAATGATGAGTTCAATTTCCAGTAAGCGGCTCTCTTAACCTTAGACACATTTAAGTTTACACGGACCCGGACGAGCCTATGATCCGAATAAATTATATAATTGAAACTTGGACACCCTAAGAGCCCTAAATCTACTCTCCTGAGTAAGACTCGTTAAAGGTAGCTACAACGTACCTCTACACCTGGGTCACCCCTATTTGTCTAAGTCCCTCCTACCTCCTGAGGGTGTTTATTCAGGTACTTATCGACAAGATTAAACTTATTGATAAAGTCCCGAAATGATTTTACGTACGTCGCGATTGTCAGAACCCGATCTTGCATCTATCGGGTCTATATCAGGGTCAAGGACGACCTGCCGAAACAAAGCATGCGGCTCAGAATGGTCATTGTGCGTATAAACCCCGATGAGACGAAAAGCCTTATCCTTCATGTTAACATCCAGCACACAAAGCCTGCTCGACGGATCTGCGAAGACAAGTGCACACGCAGCCTTCAAAGACTTGCGCACTAACCAAGAGACACCCCTCGAGCGTCCATCAAAAGATGTTGAACAGAGAGAAAACTTTCTCGACAGATAATCGCGAGAAGAAAACCGTGTCTCATGCACACAACATATATTCACCCTGAGTCGCTGAAAGTCACGAAAGAGCCTCATCCTGCGAGACTCCGCCCTCAGGCCCTGAGCATTCACGCTAGCTAACCAGAGAGCTATAATGAAACCGATTAGGTTGCTTCCTGCATTGAACCTGGCTTGAGAAAGGAGATGGATGGCCTCTCCTATCAAAACCAGTACCCATCTCAGTCTTGATGGCGCCATGAGGAAAGTTAATTTTAAAGCTCTATAAAGGGATGGGTGAACAAAAAGCGGGAACCTCTCTGAACAATATTGCTTCCATTTTTTTTAACAGAATCGTTATCGAAACAGGCCATAGGCGGAACCATTCCAAAACCCTGCTGACCAGCCTCACTCGACCGGATTCTGATCAAAACCCTTCTAACGTTCAGGAAATTTCTTGGGTCTTCCAAATCAACTTTATTTAATTTCCTGAAATTTAAAAGAGTTTTTAAATTTTTCATCTTATTCGAGTGTTGGAGTGCCTTTTCTTGTATTTATGCTGTAAACGGGTTTAGGCTCTTTTTTTTTTTTTTTTTTTTGAGTTATAGGTAATTCGGGTGATGGAATTCTTTACCTTTTGGAATTTTGAGAAGAGTTTTGACAGGGGATGGCTTAGGGGTAATTGGTGTGCTGGAAGTGGTGGTATGGTCCTGAGATGAACTTTTATTGGGGGAATTTTCTAAGATTGCCATTTTAGAAGGAGTGAGAGATGGGATCACAGGAGTAGAGGTGGAGTCATGAGGCGTTGTTTTGTCGAAGGGGAAGACGGTACCGAAGAGGAAGTGTCAGATTTTCTTTGAAGATTCTTCTCTTTAATATTTTCTTTCAATTGATTAAGTTTCCCAGCCTTTTCAAAAGATGGTTCATACTTCAACTTCTGTTGTCGAATTATATCCGAATAGCTGGTCGGGGACTTGCCCTTAGAACTAGTAAATTGAATGGGACTGTCTGTGGCGTTAGCCGTAGGACGAGGGCTGCTGCCCGGAGCTTACCTAAGTGAGATCGATAGATAGACATGAAAAGAACTGACATAGATGGATATGTGAAAGGTCTGACATAGATAGATAGATAGATAGATAGATATGAAAAGAACTGGGAAACACATATAAAAAACCTGGAAAATATAAATAATTTTTATATGCAACTATTGTCGATTTAAATGTCCTTTTTTGTGTCTTATATTGAAACAAGAACAGGTTTCCTATTTAATCATAATAATTCGGCTTCTATTGAAGCGAATATATTATAAAAGCTTTGTATAAAGTATAATTCCTCGTCATATGTAAGGCTACATCTTAAATTCTTTTCACAAACCTCATTCACAAACCATCTATCTATCTATATCTATATATATATATATATATATATATATATATGTCTGTGTCTGTGTACTTATGTGTGTGTCTATCTGTGAAGCATTGATCTATCCCCGATTAAAGTATATTTTAGTTATGAAAGATTTTCTTAAAAATAAATCTGACATTTCATTTATATTGTTTTGTCAATATGGCCGAATTTATCGATTTTCGTGGCAATCAGAAAAGAAATGATTCCAATCAATTTAAATTCAGTTTGAAATGCGGCAAAGTATTTTGCTTATTGGAAATATTAAATTTAATCTATTAGCTTCGAATTAAAACTAAAATTAAAATTCAAGAAAAAGATTAATTTTGTGAAAATGCATTTCAAATTTTTTAGGTATCGCTTTTTTTTCCTTGGGCGTACGTAATATTTTTATTACATTATCTAGATGAATGTTTAAATAAAAGATGATAAAAATTAATTGTAGTGTTGGAAATAGTTATAATAAAATAATTAAAACTATTATAATTATTATTAATTTACTCATTCTAAAGAAACCAGTGGGAATTCACATAACTTTTCTCTCTAAACACAAAACACGTGATATTCTCACTATCGGACAAGCAGTTCACACGGACTGCACATTAATACGTGCGTCAACGAAAATTTAAACACGTTTTGGTTTTTCAAACCATTTATATCTTAGTACTCAAAAAAACTTCGACTTACGAAAACCGCACAGATTGTAGTATTTTTTTAACTAAATTATCTGGTCACACATTAAATACATCTATAAAATAAAAATAAAAAAAACATACGATAAAGACTGTATATACTTTGTTTATTCTTTGCATTATCATTTTATCGGATTCTGATCCATATTTGACCCCAGACTCAATATTTTACTTTAGTTTTATTGTCTTTCGTCTCCCAACACTGCACAACGACCAGATAAGAAATAAAACTGTTTCTCATTTTTACCATTAATTACTTGTTAATTTTTTATTAAAAGTCATTTTAAATATATGTGCTAATTACATTTAAATTGGTTTCTGAATATTTTTATTAATTAGTATTATAAAATACTTAAAAATAATAATTAAAAAGTGATTTACATTTTATTTCACAATGAACATTTTTAGTTGTGCAAAAAAAGTTTGTTTTGCACAAGAAATTAATTAAATTAATTAATATTTTTAATTACTTTATACCACAAATAATAAAAAGCATTATTTTGACTACTTTTTTTTAATCTTTTTATTCTATCCTACATTTTTTTTATATTAATGTCTAATTAAAAAAACTATACGTTTTTGCTATTTTCTTTTTACTTTCAATCTTACATTTCCATCGAGTTGGTTTCGTTTTATTTCTGTTTTCTCAACATTTTCAAACGTAAATTTGACATAAAACAAATCTTGACAAATTTACCTTCGAATATTTTTAATAATTTATTTATTTTTGTTTTCGATGTACATTTTACAAGAAATAAAATAAATATGAATTTGATTTAAAAAAATAAAGAATCAAATTTTATTCGACATTTTCGTTTTATTTACATAAAATGATAATTTATTTTTATTCAGATTTATTCTCATTTTATTTTCTGTCTTTTTTCCCTTTGATATTAAACATCGCTTCATTATTTCATGTCCAGTGGCGTGTTTATTCTCGTCCAATGAAATGCCTTATGACGTCATCCTACATCCTGGTTGTTAGTATTTAAACGCGTGAAGGGCGTAGCCATAGTCAGTTTATTTCAGACAATTCAACAAAGAAGACGACGTTTGCTGTTTGTTTGGGTCCCACGCCTTTTGACAAAAACCAATTCCACTCAAGTGAAATCAAAATCAACTGTAAATATGAATTTTATCGATTTCTAATTTCTCAATTTTTTAAATGATTTCAAGAATAGAAAGAGACATTTTTCTTTTCTTTTCATTTTGAAACCATTTCACACAAAGGGAGGCAAGAAAGCCACCCGACACTAGTGTTTTCTTAGTATGAAAAAGAATCATATTTTAGTCTCTAAATTATTATTTACTGGTTTCGCTGCAAATTGCGTGGCAGATTCAAAATCACAATATTTATCATCTCTTTAATAGATATTTTATCTATCTATCTATCTATCTATCCTCTATCTATCTATCTATCTATCTATCTATCTATCAGTATATATATATATATATATATATATATTTTTTGAACAATAAGAAAAAGAAAAATTAAAATCATTAGACACACTGGGTTGTAGATTAATATTCTTTCGTTTTTATTATTATTATTATTATTCATTTAGATTCCTCGACTAGTTTCGACCGAAAATGGCCATCATCGGGAGGATAAAATATTTCTGGTTGCTGTTAGCAGTGAACTACAGAAATGAATGTCTTTTGTTGGAGAAATGAACTTTTTGTCTGTAGTTTTCATTTGTTTTTATTTTTTATCTTTTCACATGAATCTTTTAACATTCCTTGTGTTGGTCAAACAGTCACTTTTTAAGTTGTTATTTGAGATAAGAACTGATAGATATATTTTATCCTGAATTCTCTGGTCAATTTGACAGTTTTATTGGACCTGGTGAGGGATGTCTCTGTTTAGTGTTTGTGTGTGTGTTATTTGGTTCTTAGGAGTGAGTGAGTATGATATGTGTAAGCGTGTGTATTGCTGTAGGTGTGTTATCATTTGGCTCGTTAGGGAGTGAGTGAGTATGGTGTGTGTACGTGTATAATCGTGGGGGTGAGTGTATATATGAGGCCTATATCCGTAAGCATGTCTGTCTTGTGTGGGTGAGAAATGTGGGTAGGTTTTGATTTGTTGAGTTATATATTATTATTATTATATATATATTGTTAAATTTATGATTTAGCCCAGCTGGGTATTTGTTTTTTAGACGTTATATCCACTTATTTTCATACTCAAAATCTTTCTAATGTTATCTGCTCTGAACTTTTCTATTCTCTAATTATAGTGAATTTGGCATGGGTTTGAAATCGTGTTTTTATATAGGCGGAAATGTTATTCTACAGGTAATAATTGTTTATAGGAGTCGATTTAATTGCTTACGATAATTATTAATTCTGTAGTTAAAGGCCATTCAGATTTTCCACATATTGTTTTCTGGCATAGTGTGCATTCTAGGAGGTAAATTATGTTTTGACTTCTACAGTTAGAATCGTGGTAGATTTTTGAAAGTAGATTTAGTGATTGAGCTAGTGAATGTATTCATGTATTTTAATATGGTTGCAACATAAACTTCTTTTGTTGTTACATGGTTGGGAAAATCCTGTTGTTTTTGTTCTCAGTTCCTTACGGATTACCTTGTCCCCTGAAATGTGGTTTACTACCTATGATTTCTTTTAGGTTCTACTATGATATGCAAGAAGGCTTTGGTTCTAAAACAATTTTTTAGGTCTGGTTTGAGATGTAGTATTTCCCAGCGACGTTTGATTATTTGGGATAGTGGAGGCAGCGTGGGATTGAAAGAAATTACTAGAGGGATGAATTGTAGATTTATTTTTTAATCTTGTATATTAGTGTCTTCTCTATTTTGTGGAAATTGCTTTTGTTATTTGTTCCCTGATTAGGTGTTGTTTATAAACGTGTTGTGAATTGATGCTCCAGATTTTCAATGTTTATTTAATTTTTCATTGTTGGAACATATCCTTCTGAGTCTAAGTGCTTGTGAATAGGAAATTGTCTTTGAGGTGTTTGTCCTGGGAAGACTTAAAGTGTAGATAGTTGTGGGTGTCGGTGATTTTTCGTGTGTGAAGGTGTCGTTTTATAGTTTCCTGTTTTCTATGTAAATGCGGTTGTCTAAAATGTTACTGATGTTGTGGATTTTCATAGTCAAACTTAATTGAGTCATTTACTGTGTTTTGGGATCATAAGGAATTGGGAAATTTTATTTCACTACCCGTGTATACAAAGAATATATCATCGATATATCTTGACTGTAGAATACGCAGTCTTTACTAACAATGATTGGATAGATATGGGTCTCCTCAAATTTTCCCATGAATTTTTTTCATGGATGATGGAGCTGTAATTGTGCCCATGGCACAACCTCTTATTTGAAGGTAGTGTGATCCATTGAAGTTGAAAGTATTCAATGTAAGGACATGCTTCATGAGTTTTAAGAACTTTTAGGGGGTCCTGTTTTCTTCTTTTTAAGTGCTTTCAAACGAAGGGCAGAAAGCCTTCGATGTTTTTGGCGTATGTTTGAATATAGTGACCTAACGTCCATAATCACTAGAATAGCTTTCTCTGGAAATATATATTCTCTGTTCATTCTATCTACTCATTTCTGACTGATCATTAATTATATATCTATTTCTTTATTTAAAAAGAAAATTCCTACCCTCTCCCTCTGTCTCGTCTCTTTTCTATTTTTGAAATGAACCCTTTCAAAAATGATAATTTATATCGGTCTATTTTTTGTATATTCTATTTGTCAATCTGTTTATTCTTTTTCAAAAATGAAAAATATCTGCCTTTTACACAAGAATAAATTTATATCGGATTGTTTATTCTTCAATCTATCTATCTATCTTCTATCATCCTTTCTATCACTCTATCTATCTACATCTATCTATTAAATTTTTGTCCTTTTATATTTATCTATCTATCTCATCTATCTATCTATCTTTCTATCATATTTTATCTATCTCAGTCCTTTTCATATCTATCTATCTTATCTCAGTCCTTTCATATCTCTTTATCCATTCACGATCTTTCCATCTATCTATCTATCTTTCTCATCTATATATCCATCTGTAGGGGCTTGTAATTTATATATTTATCCATATATTCTCAATACATCCATCCATCCTGTCTATCCATTGCATTGAAAAATATCTCAACCCAAAACATTCATCCAAATTTTTCCTTTCATCCATTTTTCTTATCCATCCATCCATCCATCTTTCCATCTCTTGTCCATCCATCTATCCCCAGTCCGCTTCATGTTGTCCCATTCATTCATCATCCATCCAACGATCCATTGATAATGCCATCATCTATCCCAGTCCCTTTTAAAAATCTCAGATTTTTGGGCAAACTCATCTTTCTATTCATCTATCCATCCATCTTTCTTTCCCAGGCAGTCCTTTCATATCTATCTATCTATCTATCCATCTATCTTTCTATTTCATTCATCTATCTATCTATTGAAAGTTCTCGTCTCTTCTATATCATTTTTTCTATCTATCTATCTATCTATCTTGATATCTCTCTTTCTATTCATCTCTCTATCTATCTTTCATCTATCTATCTATCTATCTATCTATCTATCTATCAGTCTTAGTCCCTTCATTTCTCTCTTTTGAAAATATCTATTTCCTAGCATATCTATCCATCTATCTATCCTTCTACAGTCTTCTCTTAGTCCCCTTCATATCTATCTATCCATCTATTCCCTCATCTATCCATCTCATCCATTCATCTATTTATCTATATCTGTCCTTTTCTATCTATCCATCTGTCCATCTAATCCATCTATTCATTCCATCCATCTATCTATCCATTCCATCCATCTATCTATCTCATTCTGTTCCAATATCTATACATCTATCCATTTGTCATCTTCTATTATAAATCTATCTGTCTAAAATGTTCCTTTTTTATTCATTCATCTAAAATTTATTTCATCTATTGATCTATCTATCTATCCATCTTTCATCTATCTATCTCATCCTTTTCATAACCATATGATCTATCCATTTATCTTGAACTTTAATCTATTGTTTTATCTCAGTCCCTTTCAAATCTATTTGATCTTAAATGTCTAATTTTTCTATTTATCTAAAAATATTTATCTCAGTCCTTTTCATATCTATTTTCCTCTATCTATCCATCAATCTATCTAAAATGTTATCTATCTATCTATCATCTATCAGTTCTTTTCATTGGTATTTATCTCAGTCCTTTTCAAGCTATCTCTCTATATATAAGTTCTTTTCATATCTATTTTATCTTTCATCTCTCTATATATAATCCAGAATATGTTTGTTAAATTATATATATATATATATATATATATATATATATATGTATGTATAAATATATTTATATGTATTTATAAGACTATCCATACCCTCTCTGTTCAAAATTTTTCTATCTTTTTCAACTTTTCATTATGTTATGAGTCTATCTTTTCCTATCCCTTTACTATAAAATTATTTATATATCTATCTCATTTACTATCAAAATGATATCCTACGTCTAGTATGTGTGTGTGCGTAAAAGTATGTGTGTCTATCAGTTCATGTCTGTGTGTGTTTTTGCATTTTTCTTATTGCGTTATTTTTTTCTTCCTTTCCTTATTTCTTTTTTTTCTCTCTCCATAATTTTCCCACCTTGTTATCTCATGTAAAATAAAGTTTCTTTCCATTCAAATATAAATTATTTGAAATAATTGAAAGGACCCCCTCCCTCTTTCATATACCCTTTTTTTTTTTTCTATTTTTCTCACATTTCTTCTCTTTCTCCTCGTTCCTCCCTCTCCGTTCCTTCTAATGAAAGATCAGTTATTAAATTGAGGAAACGCCCTTTTAGTCCGGGTCGGGGGTGACTATTCTCGTCCAATGAAATGCCAAGATGTAAACTAATGCAAACAACATTTGCTACTGTGTTTTTTGCGTTTATATCCCTTCATAAACACTAGCCATAGCTTTTCCCTTTTGTATCATCTCGTAATAAAACCATACCCATCCATAAATTTATATAATATGTCTATTCTTGGTCCAATGAAATGCCTATAAATATATATGACGTATATATATTCCCGCTGGTTTCACTTGGCGAGATTATACACGAAGAAGAAGACGTCATTTTTTTTTTTATATATATATATTTTGAGGAAAAAGAAAAAAAAACTAATTTCATTTATAACGTCAAATAGAACAAATAAATTGGAAGTAGAATTTTCCAAATCGATTTCCAAATAATCGAACTTTACCGAAATGTTTTAAATGAATCCAGCGAAAATGCTTTACGTTGATTTTCTCTTGCCTTTTTTTTTTTTTAAACTAAAACACATATTTAGAAAAAATGTTTTCTAACAATTTCCGTTTTTATTTATATTATTTAAAAAATGTCTGATTCGGATTTTGTAAAAGAAAACTCGTTTTTAGTTAAGATTTCTGATAAAGTTTTTCCAATAAATGATTGAAAATATCGATTATCATTAATCGTCTGCTTCTTTCATTTCTTTCTTTCTAAAAAACCATTCGGTAGCGATTTTAAATTCTAGAAAATTATGAATATATCTGTCAATCTCTGTAAAACTCACTATATTAATCTGTTTATATCTATTTATCTCTACAAGAATTTCCAAATTAATGAGTTTTTCAACTGAAAAAAAACGCTAAAAATATTACCCGACTTCTGACCTCAGAAAAAAAAAAAAAAAACAAGATTTTCAATTAAAATTTCGGATTTGCTAGAAACGAATAAAAATTTAAAAAACTAATTAAAAATAATTTCGTTTTTCCTCTTCTTAGTAATATGAATTGTTTCACATAAAATTGTGTTTTTATTGAGTTTACGCTCTTTTTTTACATCGTGCTATGCTGTTTGTTTTTGACGATTTAATGAAGTGACCCACCCTGACTTATAATGTGTATGTTAGGGTGACACGGGGGCCGGGGGGTGACGGCCGTGTGTATTTCGTTGCCAGGCAACAAACTTCCACATTGTTTTATGCATTTTCGTCTGTCTGTTGCAATCTGTTTCTATCTATCTATCTATCTATCTATCTATCTATCCTTTTCATACCTATCTATCTATCTATCTATCATTTTCATATCTATCTATCTAAATTATTTAAAAAGCTTTTTTGAATTTGTAGGTCTGATGAATTGAATCGTGATTACGATTCCAATGTAATAAATTATAACCATGGAATATTACCCTTTATATATATATATATATATATATAATTATTTCAAAAAATTTGTTTTAACACGCTACGTAAAGTTCTCATGTTTCAAAAACAAGAGCCGAAAACTTCAATATAATTATTAGAATTAAATTGAATTAAAGTACTAAGTTTCTGTTCCTCTTCAATTTAATTCTGATAATTATATTGAAGTTTTTTTATTCTTGTTTTGAAACATGAGAACTTTTATGTAGCCATGTTGAATCATATTTTAAATAAATAATTATATTTATGCTCTACTTTTGTATCGAGCACTATTTTTTAAAAATAATAACAAAGAACTTTGGATTATTTACCTAACGAGTTCTTTCCATTTTCTATATATTTTTTTCACACACACACACACACACACACACACACACACACACACATATATATATATATATATATACGTGTGTCATCAGTACATGTCTTTATGTGTGTGAGTGATATCAATTTTCCTCCTTTCTTCTTTCTTTTACTTCCTCTTCCCTCCCCCTTCACTTACTCTACCCTTGTCATCTTATGTAACGCCCTCCACTTAAGTGGTGTGACTATTCTCGTCCAATGAAATGCCTTAAACACCTATGATGTCACAGTGCTTTCCTCCCTTCAGTTATTCAATCCCGTGCTTTTCCTCCCTTGTTATCTCATGTAACACACTCCAGTCCAGAGGTGTGACTATTCTCGTCCAATGAAATGCCTTAAACACGCATGATGACAGCTTTATTGATAACTTCTCTCTCTGTTCTCCAATCTTTAATTATTTTATTCGTCCCCACCCCAAAAATCTTTCCCCACCCCCTTTGTGATTTGGGATTTTAGAAGAAAAATTCTTTCCGGATGTCGATGTGTTTTTTCTTGTAAAATCACGAAATTTCGATCATTTTTTACTTCCGGTTTTATAAATGGACCTTTTTCGGCTTTTCTGATTTTTAATGAAAACGGCCAAGAAATCAAAATTCAATCGGTATCTTTTCCCTCGTCGTTAGTGAGTCCATTATGCCCCTGCCTTCAAATGCGATCCCAATGACTGGGAATTTGTCGGGGACAAGACGAATTCAATCCTTCTGCCGTTCGTTTAATGAAAAGGAGAAAATTTTGTCCCAGTGACAACTGTGACCGGTGAAATTTGATTTTGTTCAAATAAATTTAAGCGCCGGTTTCCTTATTTTCGTCTTTCAAAAGAAGAAATTTTTCCCTTTTACCGAAGAATGTTTTGTTTAAATTCTCGAAAAAAACTGAAAATAGGGCTGAAGATTTTTGTTTCCATGTCGATGAAAAAATTGTTTGTTTATTTTAAAAACGATGGAAAATATTTATCCCCTTTTTCAAAATTATTTAAAATAAAAAAAAAAATTTCTTCACGTTGCGCCTAAAATTTATTTTTTAAATCATTTTTAAAATTTTTTCAATTGAATTTTTTTTCATTTTTTCCTGAACTTTAAATCCGACCATCAATGGTTGACAGAAGATTTTTAAAAGGAAAAATGAATTTTCCATTCAAATGGCAATAAAAATAGCAAATCAATCCATAATTACTGATCTATATGTTTTTGTAATTTGGCTCAATTTCCATGAGGTTTTTTTTCTAGGTCCTGGCGATGAGGGGTGAAAATGGCCATGAACCCATCTGTCCCTGCATTTGAAAAAACAGCAGAATAAAGGAAACTATTTCTGGGTGAATGGCAAAACCATTCTGAAAAGGTCCAATTCCAAAACGTCAAACTTTCTTCATAACGACCTATCCTTCCCACTCTCCGTCGTTTGCTTTCCACCTTCAAAACGTACCAAAAGACTTGTCGATTCCATGAAAACCATCGATCAGTCTCTATCTGTCGATCTCTCGAACTCCGTCTAGATATTTGAAATGGAAGGGGAATTATATTTGCCGCCACACCTGTCTATTCAATCGATCAAAGTCATTTTAGAAGAATCGTCATCTATTATCTGATACATTTTAATATCTATCTATCTATCTATCTATCTATCGATCATCCATCTATCTATCTCAGTCGTCTTTGAATCTATCAATTAACTATCCCAGTCTCTTGAATCTATCAAACTCACTTTGGTTGTCTCTTGGCCTGGGTTTTCGTGGAACATTTAATATATGTCTTTTTGGGGGATATCTATCTATCTATCTGAACGGCTATCTATCCGCCATCCCTCAGGACCATTTAATAACTGTTTTCATTCATCTGATTCCATTTTTTCTATCTGTCAATCTATCTATCTAAATTGATCGACGCCGACGATGAAAAATATCTGTCTGTTTTTGTTGAAAATAACTTTTAATATCGTTGTCTGTCTTTCTATCTATCTTCGTATCTATCACATTCCTTTTAAATATGTGTGTCTATCTATTCCTTGATCTCTTTTAATGGAATATCTATCTATCTATCTATCTATCAAATCGATCTATCTATCTGTCAAAAAATTTTAATCTTTATGTTCTAAATATCTGATTTCCATTTTAATATTCGTCTGTCTGTGTCTATCTATCTTTCTATTTACCAAAGTCCTTTTAAAATCCTTCGATCTATCCCATCCGAAGATTTTTTATTTCAGCGTATCTGTCCCTTATTTTTAAAAACGATGGAAAATATTTTAAAATTGTAAATTATCCGCCTATAAAAAAAATCTTTCTTATCTTTGCAAATAAAATTTATTTTTAACATTTTTTATTTTTTCTTCATCTATCTTTTTTCATTTTCTATCTTTGGCTCCGAAAAAAATTCCGCCATTTTGAATCAAAAATCCTTTGAAACAAATCTATCTATCTTTTTCTTTTGTCAAATGATCTATATGTTTTGCATCCGTTAAGCTATTTCATAAAAATTAACATCTATCTACGGATCTAAAATCATTCATGAACAATCTCGTCCTGCATCAGAAAATCATCGAATTTTAATATATTTCAATTGAATATATCTGATTCCAATTCCAATATCTGTCTCTTTCATCTATCTATATCTCTCCGTCAGTTTCCTTGAATGAAAGGAATTATTCTTCTTAAAATTCCATCTATCTATCCCTTGAATTCTCTGTCTTCTTCTAAATCTGTCTATTCATTTTTCTATCTGTCCATCTATTCATTCTATTCCAGTTCATTCAATCTATAAAATCTGAGAATATCACATAAGCTATCTATTTGATGCCTTTTAATTGTTTCATTTTTTTATCTAACTATCTAAAATCTTTCTATCTATCCCTTCTAAATTGTCTCAAAAAAAAAATCTATCAATCTATTTTTTTCTTTGCAAATCTAATCAATTTTTAAATCCCATTTTTAAAATCTGTAATTCAATTTTTTTTTTTTTCATTTCTATCTATATGTCTCCGACCATCAATCACAGACCATTTTAATAAAAGTGTGTCTATCTCATTCATAGCGTATCTATCTATCTATCTATCCAATCTATACATTTTTAATTTGTCTATCTATTGTACAAAATTCGAGGAGGTTTTCTTTAACGTCTATCGATCTTGAGTGAATCTTTAATATATTCTGTCCTAAGAATTCAATCCTTTTAATTCCATCTATCTATCCCTATCTATCTATTAAAATCTTGATGTCTATCAATCTATCTGATTTCTTTTTAATATCTGTCTGTCTGTCTATCTTTCTATCTATAACAGACCTATCTATCTATCTATCAAACAGCAGTTCTTTTCACTATCTATCTGTCTATCTATCTGGCAAAACATTCTGAAAATCTGTATGTCTATCTGTCTATCACATTCCTCATAATATCTGTCTATCTGATGCTGTCTATCTATCTATCTTTCTCCTTTCTCTACTTTTGTTCAATCTATCTATCTATCTATCTATCTATCTATCTATCTATCTCTATCTTCTCAATCTCTTCATATCTATCTATCTATCATCTATCTATCTATCTGTCACAGTCTTTATATCCGTCTCTTAATCTATAACTCTATCTATCTATCTATCTATCTATTCCAATCTATCTATCTATATATGACAGTCATTTAATTCAATCTGTCTATCTATAATCAGTTCCTTTTAATATCTATCTATCCATCTGTCTATCTAATTCTCTCTCAATCTTGAATCTATCTATTTTTAATTCAATCTATCTCAATCGGTCCCTTTTAATTCTATTTTCTATCTATCTATCATTTAATTCAATGATCTATATATGTCTTTTTTATCTCTCCTATCTATCTATCAGATTCCTTTAAATCATCTATCTATCTATCGAATCTTTTAATATCAATGAATCTATCTCTCTATCTTTTGTTCAATATCTATCTATCTATCATCTTTTAATATCTGTCTATCTATCTGATTCCTTTTTTTATCTCAATGATCTATCTGTCTTTCTTTTTAATATCAATGAATCTATCTATCTATCTATCTTTTAATATCTTTTATCTATCTGTCTATCTATCTCAATCTTTTGAATCTCCATTAATCTATCTATCTATCTATCTATCTATCTATCTATCTATCTATCTATCTATCTGTCATCTTTTAATTTATCTCTGTCTATCATCTGATTCTTTTTATCTGTCTATCTATCTCTCTATCCTTCTTTTAATTCTATCAATCTATCTATTTTTAATCATTCTCTTCATCTAGTAAATCTAACTATTTATCTATCTATCTCTCTATCCTTTTAATATCTTCTATCTACCTATCCGAATCTTTTAATTCTATTTATCTATCGGGTTCTTTAATTTCTGTCTATCTATCTATCTGTCCGAGTCTTTTAATTCTGTCTATATCTATCTATCTATCTATCCATCTTTCTCTTCTATCTATCTATCTATCTATCCAGTCTTTTAATTCAATGAATCTATCTATCTAATTTCTTTTCAAGGTCTTTTTCCATTCAGTAATTCTATCTATCTGGTCTATCTATCTATCTTCTGTCTATCTATCTATCTATCACAGTCTTTTATTCAATGAATCTATCTATCTGTTTTGTATATCTATCCGAGACTTTTAATTCAATCTATCTATCTATCTATCTATCTATCTATCTATCTATCTATCTATTTATCGAGTCTTTTAATTCAATGAATCTATCTATCTATCTTTTAGTTAATTAATCTATCTATCCATCTTTTAATCAATGATCTATCTGTCCAGTCTTTTAATTCAATCTAACTATCTGGAAAATTTTTTAATTCAATCCTATCTATCACTGTCTTTAATTCAATCTATCTATCTGATTCTTTAATTTCGAAATCTATCTCTCTATCTCAGTCTTTTAATTCAATCTGAATCTGTCTATCTATTCAGTCTTTTATTCTATCTATCTATCTATCTCTGTCTATCTGTCTATCTATCTATCTATCCATCCAAATCTTTTAATTCAATCTATCTCTATCTTTTAGTTTAATGAATCTCTATCCGATCTTTCTGAATTTCTATCTATCTATCCGAATCATTTAATTCAATGTATCTATCAATCTATCACATCCTTTTAATTCAATGAATCAATCTGATAGTTTAATATCTATTTCATTCAATATATCTATCTATCTATCACATCTTTTAATTCAATAACTCTACCTATCTATCAATATCATTTTAATGTCTTTCTATCTATCTATCTCAGTCTATCCTATCTGCTTTTATCTATCTAATGAATCTATCATCTATCTATCCCAATCTCTTCTTCTATCTATCTATCTATCTATCCATCTTTTAATATTTGAATCTATCTATCTATCAGATCTTTTTTCAATGAATCTATCTATTATTACAGTTCGCTTTAAGTTCAATGTCTATCTATCTGTCTATCCTTTTCTATCATCTGTCTGTCTGTCTGTAACGGTCCTTTTAATATCTGTCATATCCGGGTCTTTTAAGACTTTTTAATCTCTGTCTATCCGGATGATACCTTGATTCTATCCTCTTTCTATCTATCTAATTCCTTTCTATCTCTATCCGATCTATCTTTTAATTCCAATGAATCTATCTATCTGTCGTTCTCTTTTCATTCAATCTATCTATCTATCTATCTATCTATCTTTTCACAGTCATTGAATCTATCTATCTATCAAATTCTTTTCATTCGTAGATCTATTTATCTATCCGAATCTTTTTATTCAATTTTTAATATCTGGCATCGATCTATCAATTCAATTAATATCTGTCTATCGATTCCCTATCTATCTATCTATCTATCTATCTATCTATCCGAATCTTTTAATTCAATAAATCTATCTATCTGTCTATCTATCCGATCCTTTTTATTCATCTAGTCTTTTAATTCAATGATCTAATCTTTAATTCATTTATCTATCTATCTATAGTCTTTTAATTCAATGGATTTATCAATCTATAGTCTTTTAATTCTATCTATCCTATCTATCAGAGTTTTTTTTTAATTCAATGAATCTATCTATCTATCCGAATCTTTATCTCAATGAATCTATCTATCCGATTCTTTGAATTCAATGAATCTATCTATCATCATCTATTTAATTCAATCTTTTAATTCAATCTTTTATCTATCTATCTATCTATCGAGTCTTTTAATATCTGTCTAACTATCTATCAGAGTTTTAATTTATCTATCTATCCATCTATCTTCACTTTGTTTAATTCCTATCTATCTATCTCTCTTTCATATCTGTCTGTCTTTCTATCTATCCTATCCATCTCAATCTTTTAATCTATCTATCTATCTATCTATCTATTAATTCTATGAATCTATCTATCTCAGTCTCTTTTAATTAATATCTATCTATCTATCCCAGTCTTTCCTCTATCTATCTATCTATCTATCCCATCTATCTATCTATCTATCTTTAATTCTATCTATCTATCTATTCCAGTCTTTTTCTATATAGTACACTTTTTTCAATGAATCAATCTATATAATATCTATTAATCAATGAATCTGTCTATCGAGTCTTTTTATTTATCTATCTATCTATCACGAATCTTTTAATTATCTGTCTGTCTATCTATCTATCGAGACTTTTAATTCAATGATCTCTTATCTATCGATATCTATCTGTCGAATTTTAATTCAATGAATCTATGTATCTAACTATCCGAGTCTTTTAATTCAATGAATCTATCTATCTATCTATTCGAATCATTTAATTCAATGAATCTATCTATCCGAATCATTTAATTCAATGAATCTATCTATCTCTCTATCTATCCGAGTCTTTTAATTCAATGAATCTCTATCTATCTATCGGCGACTGTTTATTCAATGAATCTATCTATCTCTGCGACTTTTTATTCAATGAATCTATCTATCTATCGGTGACTTTTTATTCAATGAATCTATCTATCTATCGGTGACTTTTTATTCAATGTATCTATCTATCTGTCTATCCATCTTTTTATCTATCTATATCTATCTATCTATCTATCTGCGAATTTTTATCTATCTGTCTTTTTGGTTTTTTTTATCTAGCTATCTATCTATCTCTATCTATCTATAGTCTTTTTTATTCAATGTATCTATCTATCTATCTGTGACTTTTTATTCAATGAATCTATCTATCTATCTGTGACTTTTTATTCAATGAATCTATCTATCTATCTATCGGTGACTATTCAATGAATCTATCTATCTATCCGAATCATTAATTCAATGAATCTATCTATCTCTCTATCTATCGGAGTCTTTTAATTCAATGAATCTATCTATCCTATCTATCTATCTATCTATCGGAGTCTTTTAATTCAATGAATCTATCTATCTATCTATCTATCCGAGTCTTTTAATTCAATGAATCTATCTATCTATCTATCTGAGTCTTTTAATACAATCTATCTATCTATCTATCTATCACAGTCTTTTTAGTATCTGTCTAACTATCTGGAAAATTTTTATA